AATTTTCTTGCATTATATTACTGGTTCACTTATTGTGTGCAATCTGGCACTTCAGAGGAGCGTGAACAGCAAACCTGTACCGGCACAGCACTCCGGTCTGTAAGTGGCATAAGGGCTAATTACATTTGGATTTAGAGCCATCAGCCACATCAGTGCTTTTGTCATAGAGCAAATAAATGTAGTAAATAGATATTGAGGGACATCTCATTTTAGTGTTTTAGCAAAACGTAAGGATTAACAGTGAACGAGTGTGTGGAAGGCTGTCGAGAACTGAGCAGCAAGCGCTGCGCACAGCTGTCCAGGCATGGATCCCACAGCCAAAGGAGAGCACTCGGCAGCCACCAGCAACTCCCGTTTTACCTGTTTAAAGAGAACTGTTTCCTTTATTCTAGTCTGCTGTTTACTGGCTTAATACACTGTTTCAGTATTTTGAATAAAGTTATAAAAACACCACTAACTCAGCAGAATAATGCTGACCCTCCCTAGTGCTGTGTTGTTTTCTTTAGTTGAGTAAGATGGAAGCGTAAGACCACACTCACGTATATTATCTTCATACTAGGAGCCCATTTGCAGCAAGATTCCTAAAAGCGGCCACCAATGACCATGCATGCTGCTGCTGTGCCCACCCTGCCCCGCCCTCTGGCAGCCACCTTGCTTTCAGCTTTTCCTCCTTCTTCCTTCTAAGCTGTCTTCAGTCTTCACTCCTCCCTCCCTCAGCGTATGCAAATTGTAATCTTTGTTAGGTTAATTTGCATATTTTCTCTGATTGGCTGTGAGCATAGTAAAGGCATGGTCAATTAGCATTTTCTCTTTTATTAGTGTAGATATCTATACTAATAAAAGGGTAACATGCTAATAGACTGAATAGACCAGATGCTTTCCGGATGTCCGGAACTCCTTCAGGACAATGCTGTGGCGGCTGTGAGGGCCGAGTGAGGGCTGGAGCCGTGGCGCCCTGCAGTGGCAGCAGCAACGGGTGAGGGGGGCGGTGCCTTCCCCCGATAGGCCCAGTCCTGGGGTCCTGGTCCCAGGAGCAGGGAGCCGGGCCTCTGGTTGAGCCACATTCCCTGCTCCCCACCCTCGCTCAGCCGGAAGTGGGGCTCCTGGCTGGCAAGCACAGCAGAGGTGGCATGAGCTTCTCCTGCCTCCACAGCAGGCGGCAGTAAGGAGCAAGCAGTCCTAGACTGCAAGAGGGATGTCTGAATTCCAGCCTAGGCCCAAGGCCCGGGGAGTCCTGGACTGTGAGAGGGCACAGGCCGGCTGAGTCCCCTAACCCCCATACATGATTTCATGCACCGGGCCTCTAGTGTGTGTATGTACACACACACACACACACACACACACACACACACACACACGTACATATATATATATTGAACATTTTAGTAGATCAGTTGGGGGGGGGGGGAACTAAACATTTCTAACATTAACACTCATATTTTTGAAGGAATCAGAAATACATTATATTTTAAGGAAATACAATATGGTATGCTATTCCTTTCATGGATTAACTCAGTTCCTAATTCTCATTTACCTGAAAAACTTAAAAGTACACGAAATGACTGATGTTAATATTTAATGACCTATATAGTTTTTTTGAGAAATAAAGCAATCTTTATTCAATAAGATTTTATATAGTATAAAAAAATATACAAATCAACCAATGTGTATATGCACAGCCCAGGGACAGAGACCTATGTATGTTTTAAATTATTTGGCCAACTCTGAACTCCAAAGTGCTAAGTCTAAGCGAAAGAACACATTCTTCTCTAGGGAAGCGCTAGGAAGAAGAGGTAACCTTGCTTGTAACATCCCCGTGCAGGTCACAGCGTTTCAGGGGAGTGGGCAGGTGTATGTGTGTGTGTGTGTGGGGGGGGAGGTGCGGGGTGGGCTGGGGAGCGGGCAGGAGTGTGTGTGTGTGTTGGGGGGGGGAGGTCCCCGCAGCCGGGGCAGGGGTGGACTGGTTCAGCCGCTCATGGTGGCTCCTCTGGGCGTGGGCAGACCCAGTGCGGCTCCGGGGCCTCAGTGCTGGGCACAGGTTAATTCACAGCATTCACCAGGACATTGTTGATAAGCGGGTAGCATTCAAGTGTCCCAAACTCGAATCCTCATAGAAAATTATTTTTCAAAGAGAAACAGTGGCACAATTTTCTATGTCAAGACAAGACTTTCCTTCCGGCTCTGTCTGCGCAGGGGGTGGCCACCTCTGCAGAGGCCAGCCTTCCCTTTGCTTCTAACTTCAGCAAAACCTGAGTAAATGTGTGAAGATGAGGGAAGTGTTCCCAGCCAGGTCCATTTTTCATAAATGCACACAGACACCCATGACACAACCCAGAAAAAATCACAACACAGAGAACATGGACTTGGATTTTTAATTTTTTTTAAAGATTAACTCTCTCTATATATATTAATAAAAAGTGCAAAGAACATGTTTAAATTATATTCTGAAATAAAATATATATTTCCATCAACTGCAGGGGACAAGCGGCAGGGCCAAGCCCCTCCGCCGACCACGCGCCCCGAGGACAGTGCTCCTGCCGTAACCTGGGCCTGGGGTTTGTATGTACAATCCAACATGGAGCAGGGAAAGCACACACACAACTGCCCCGCGGAGGCGGCTGGGCAGCACGCCTGGCACCACACCCGGGGGTGCAGACCACAACCCAGACAACACGTGACCGCAACCCGCCAACCCCGCTGACACGTGCCACCCAGCTGACACGGGACCACAGCCCCGCTGGAATGTTGGGCTAGAACAGAACTTCCATTTTGTTATGTAAACAAAATCTTTAAACACAGCATAGTAACATTAGGCCTGTTACACACAGCTCCCGTTTTGGGTTGATTTTCATCAAAAGGTTCAGAAGAAACAAAGAGGTTATACAATGCCTGCTGCTTTCTTATGTGTTTATGGCAATAGGTTGCAGAAACAATAGAAACTTCTAAAAAGACACAAAACTCAGAACTTATTTTCTTTAAAACACTCCGGGATATTTCAAATAAAAAAAAAATGATTTCTATGTGGTTTCAGCAGCTACATGCTCACATCAAAAGAATCCCTTGGTTTTGGTTTAGATTTCTTTTATTACTCCTTTCCTTTTCCCAAATGAAAAGAATGTCTATTTTAGAAAAGATAGGCGGCAGCCAAGCGGCAATACTGGCTGTGATGGCATTCTGCTCACGGATATGCTCTCACTGAACCTGGAGGAAGTCAGCATTAAAACACTGAGAAAGCAGCAATCAACCCCGCCTCACTGCGGACTCAAAGGTCCCTGGTGCCTTCCCTCCTTGGCCTGTTATAAAAATAATTCTGGTTACAGGTGTCTACGCAGCACCAATTTTTTTCAGAAGAAGCATCTTTACTCAGCCACCCAAACAAACCTACAAGTACACATGCTCAAATCGCTTTTCTCACTTCTGTAACTCTAAAAGACCGGTAATTTTATTAATTTTGTCTCAATCAAAAATTATTCAGCAAGTTTTAAACCATCAATTACAATGTCCTACAATACCCACGCCCACAGAGAGGAGCAGTCCCCTGCCACGCGCGCGTGTGATAAAAGTGCACCTGCCGTCGCTGGCAGCTCTAACAGTACAAAAGCATCTCATAGAACTCTGTAATATATAAAATATCTTATTGTGACCATCCTGCTTAAGATTAAAGCATAACCTACATGTTCCCTCTGCCTTTTGTGGGGGACGGTCAGGGGCCACACATCCTCAAAAAATAAGGGTGCATCTATCTCCTTGGCTGACAAAGCAAAAGCTCAGCTATCCTATTCCTCTCAAACGTGCCTGCACTCACGCACACATACACAAAGCCTCCATAGTATTAACCTCATGACACAAGGGCCACACTGCCCACTTCAAAAAATAAGCCAGAAAATTGCGATTGCAAAATAATGACTCTCATCTCTGTGCAGCGAGGCCCCTCAGCCCCCTCTGCCTGGCAGGGACCGAGCCCAGAGAAGAGAGGCCTCATCACCTCACTCCCTGTGTTCCCACCTTCACAATTTCGGTGAATGTGGACTGGACTCAAGAGGCCTGGGTCAAGGGCTTTACAAACACTGAACCTGAAGTGTGTAAGAGAATAAATACCTCTTTTATGGCATAGGAAAGTTTAAAAAGTAACAGGAATAAACACAACACCATATACATGAAGAATTTACAAGCCACCTAAGAAACTTGCTAAGAAACTCACAGGAGTGGTGGAATCAATGAAAAAGTCAAACACCATCCTAACATTCTCTGAGAAGTCCTGCGTGCGCACGCCTCCTGCCCGTCTATGCTAAACCTCTGCACACAGGGTGGACCAAGAAAAACACATTTTAAAGAAAGAGCCTGTACTGACTGACAGAGGAATGGAACAAACCAAGACTTCAGAGCAGGGAAGGAACCAGATTTCAAAGAAAAGTGCTTTGAATATTCTGCAAAAAATCTGACTTGGAGGCTATTCTGAATTTGGACACTTGTATTTACTCACAAACCAGAGTGGTGCTGCAGGGGCGGCTAAGTGAACTGTGACACCAGGAGGACCCTTCCATTCGGCATCACCGAGTCCCAGGAGACCTGGAACCAGAGCTCTTCCAATTCTAGACCCCTCTCTCACCACCGAGTGCAGGAGCTAGCCCTTCCCACAAGGACCCTCACTGCTCCAGCCCCGCGGAGGGAGGCACTGCCCATGCCGCCCTCATCCTCATGGGTCTGATGCAGCAGGCAGCCCGGTGCACACAGTAAGACGGGGTTTCCCAGTCATCCTTTCGGGAGGGAGGGCACACGGGCTGGAGATGGGGTCAATTCTGCCGGCAGGGCTAAAGAAATCCCGGTAAAAAATACCTCAAACAGCCCCCACCCATTCCAGGGATGGAGGGAGGGGGGGTTTATACCTCCCCCCCTGAACAAAGCAAAGCAAACCCAAAGCAAACCCACCTGCTCCCTCCTAAGATAACCCGGAAACAGTGCCCTGCGGAAGTCCTGGGAGTGTGCAGTCGGGCTAGAGGTCACTTGGTTTTGGATTCCACATAGATCTTGTCTCCGTCCCTGATGCCGAAGGAGTGCAGAGCCCGGGAGCTGTACTTCATCTCCTCGGGGCCGAAGGGCGCCTCGTGGTCGAAGTGGTAGAGCAGCATGCTGCTCGGGGGCAGCTGCACGAGGCTTTTTAACTGTTTCTTCAGTTCTGCCACTGTCTGGTCCAGACGAATGCTCATTTCTTCCACCTGATCGTTAAAGTGGACTTCCACTTTTGCACTGCTCTGGGGTCTTAGATCCACTTCTGCCAAAGGCTCCAACTTCCCGTATTTTGTGATCAGTTCATGATACCTGGAAGGATAAACCGGCAGTGTGAGCTGACGCCATTAGTAACTGGAGTCCAAGCTATTTCCCAACTCCGAGTAAACCACGCAGCTGTCCTCCGCTTCTAGCACCCAGTCCCATGCTCTGTCCCAGTACCGATGGCCACTGTGGGATCTGTTACCGGAAACGCGGCCCTTTGAGGATCATCGGGAACCCCGTCCTGTGGACACCTCCCCTGAAGATGGTCCGTGCCTACTGTCCCTTCTTGCTAAGAGGAGGCTCAGCACGGACAACTAAGCCTGGGAGGACACGCGCAGAAGGCGCTTTCGCGGCCTAGCACTGCTCCTTGGTAACACACAGGAAGGGGTGGGTGGGCCGGCTGCTCCTGAACCCGGAAAAGTCATGTCTTACAAACACCCAAGGTATGCTAGCCTGTTTGAATGGTCCAGCCCGGTCTCATGGGCTACAATACAAGGAATCTGTGGAAGAGTCTAGAATAAATTCTTGTAAAAAAGTGGTAAATGGGGGATACAAGTTCCTCGATCCAGGCAGTAATAAAGAGCAAACAATATCAACAGGAAAGTGAATATAGAGGTGTCTGGGGCCCCACGTGAAAATATTATTTCCATCATCAGCCTTGGAGGACCAGATTTTACTGAGGAAGCTGAGCAGTTCCCTAAAACCCAGAGAGGGGACATGCTGGAAAGATCTGATATTAGCTTTATTACAGCCATAAGGTTAACTCATGACCAGAACACAGGGGTCACAAGATTACTCTCCACCTCTCCCCTTCTACTTTTGGTTTTAGCTTAAATAGTGCTAACTGAAGGCTGGCAGGAACACAGGAGACACAGTGAGATCCTGTGGTCAGAGATGGAGGCGAGCAATGCCACCACAGGAGACACTACAGGAGACCAGGGCAAGGCCCAGGGCACCGGCCTTGGAGTGGGAGCCGTCCTTACCACTGGCTGTGTGGCTCTACGGTCAGCTGTGTGACGGGCACTCGCTCAATCCTTTAGGATTTCAGATTCCTCATTAACATTGGGATAATAAATCTGCCCTTCCTACAGACAGTCTTAAAATTATCTAAAACTAGAGGCCTAGCACACGACTCAATCCTGCACCTGGCGGGTCCCCTAGGCCTGGCCTGCCGCCAGGGCCGTGTCCGAGACGCCTCGCATGCCCCCGGGATGCTGCTGGCACCCCGCCTCGCCCTCTGCGAGAGCCGCTGCTCCTGTGGTCCTGACGCTGTTACGGCATCTCGATCACAGGCCTTACGATATAGGCAACAGGTGAGTGACACTTTGTAAATTAACTTCGTAACAAATAAAAAAATGAACGTTACACTCCTACTGTTATGGAATTTACATTATTAAAACACACACACACACACACACACACACACACACACACACACCTTAAAATATATATATAATTGAAGTATGTTTAGATAGAACTTCTTGGATAAGGTAGGGTTATAATGAAGCAAATTACAGCATCTTCTCCTCCCAGGACGTGAGCTTTAAACAGTGCTTTTGAAAAGAGTAAAGAAATCACCAGCAGCAGTTAACAGAAGAAGAGATGTCAACCAAAGGAGTCCCAGCATGTGGTGGCAAAGGGGAGGATTTACTCAGTGAAAGCAGCTCAGCTGTGAAAAGCTTGGAGGTGGAACAGTGCTGCCGAAGCCCTCGCTTTAAAGCATTGCAGAGATAGCTCAGCATGAACTGCTCAAAGTGGCTCAGTGCTACGGCTCCAGTCAGGGGGAGGCAGTCATGTGGAAACTGAATGTGTACTCCATTGAGACAAAGGTGAAGCTGGCTTATGGAGAGAAGAGTATCTGCACTCAGTCCCTGATTGGTCCATTTGTATGCAAATGAAGACTCCAAATCTACATTAGTCCATATAGCACTGCCCTGATTGGTCAGAATGGAATGCTCTGATTGGTCAGTGAGGAGCAAATGCTATATAGCTGCACAGCTCCAATTAGACAAGGAAAGTCTCAGTCCTATTGGTTGAATTTAAATCCTAGGAGCTCTCTTATAAAAATCAACTGAGACAGCAGGAGCCCAGTGCAGAGGCATGGCCGCCCGGTGCATGGCTTTCCCCTGAAATGCAGAGTGCACCAGACCTCTGTAAATAATGGCTGCTTGACTCAGGAAAAAATTCTATTTGGCAGGTATATTCTTTCTTGGGTCAACAGAAGGAATAACCTTATTGCCATAATCTTTTAAAAGGAAAGAAAGATCTGCATTAGTGGAAGCTGTAGATTCATAAACTGGAAGAGCTTTCTCATTTTTCTGTTCAACCTCTTCCTTGAAATACCTTCTGAATTGCTAAGATGGGAATTGAAAACTACATTTCCCACACTCCTTTGCAGGTGAACTTTAGCTTCTATCAAGCACATTCAATACCCCGAGGGTGAGAAATAATGAATTTAGTAGGTACAATTTGGGTAGAGGCTTCCTAATTACCAGATTATAGTTCAAGCAGTGTGTTTCTGGCCATAGCTTGCTGATCTCCAGATCCCAGCTAAGGTGGTGTGACCCAGCACCAGGACATCACTTCCTGAATCTCTCCTTTCAGGGTTCCTTGGTCAGCTGGTTCTGTGGTAGCAATCTAGAGACAGACCAGTTCTAGGGAGAAAGACCTTCCAAAGATGTTGTCAGTACCTTATCTTCTGTATTAAATTCCTTTCTTCTTAAAATAGCTGCTGTGAGGTGATGTAGGGGAATGGTAGTATACAAGGTTCCCTTGGTCTCTCCCTTTGAATTTTCAAAAATTTCAACAGCTATAATTCAACAAAGGAATCCCTGCTCAAAGCATGAGTCAGGTGAGATCCACACACTGAAACAGCTAAAGGTGGGTAGGGTAAGTTGAAACAAACAGGGGAGGTGAGGAGAGAGAAGAAGAAATCCAGTTATGGCTAGCACTCCACTCAGCTGGGAGGAGCAAAGAGATTCCATGGGCACGCCTGCAGCAATGAGCAGTATGAGGTGTAGCTGAGCCCGAGACCTAGGCAAGGACACGGCATGGGGGTACGACTGTGGCTGTTGGATTATCAGCATTCCCAACAGAGAAACAAAGCCACAGAGCCCTGTCCCTCTGAGGCCTCCCTTTGCCCTTGGTGTCAGGCTGCAAAGTACATTACCTGCAAACCCAAGAACAGATACTACAGAATTACTTTACCCTTGAGCAAAGGGTGCACAGTCCCAGGACTGGATGCAGGGTGGCACCCCATGAAGGTCTAAGGTCATCATTACCAGGAGAACCAAACGACGAAGAAGCTGGCCAGTTCCCCAAGCCCAGCTCACTGCCACACATTATGGCTTCACAGATGGGAGCCTCTCTCTGGCTGTGGAAGACAGCACTGGGATTTCACAGAACTAAGAAAATCTGTGCTATTTAGAGCCACCTACTGGAAAAGAATAGAAAGACTTATTCATATTAATCTGTTAGAGAAGTGCCACTTACACACTGATGTCCAGACAGAGAATCAATCAAATGCCATGAATAAACCAAGGGATCAAGGCAACTTAGAAAGAAACGGAAAAATCTCCAGAAAGCAAAATTAAAGACATGGAAATATGTAATATAAATGACAAAGAATTCAAGATTGCACTTCTGAAAATACTCAGTGAGATGTGAGAAAATAATACAGGCAATTTAGTGAGCTCAGAAAACAAATCAACAGAGAGACAAAATGGTGGCTGAACAAATGGACCTGTTCTGAGCCTAGTCCCAGAGCAGATAGAAAGAGCGCCTGAGAGTTGCTTGGGGAGTGTTAGTTGGCAAGCTAAGGGGTAGCAGAACTCTAAGAGAAGGCAAGAGTCTGCTGGACAGGATTTCCTGACCAAGCAGCCCACAATGCAGCTGAGACCTCTCCGGGAACTACAGACTCAGAGGGAAAACTACTCCATCTTACAAAGAAAAGAGGATCTTATCTGAGGTCTGAAAAACCCACAAGAGTGGAGACCACCGAAGAGCTGTGATGCCCCAATTGGCACAAACATGTGGATTCAAGGGAGTTCTTGAATCACCCACGGAAAGGAGAAAGAGACTTACATAACTAGACATCCTAAAAAGAGAGACCACGGGGAGACAAAGAAATAGCCACACATGAAAGAAAAGCAGGCATCACCAGAAAAGGAAGTAAACGAATTAGAGGCAAGCAATCTACCAGAGCAAGAATTCAGAGTAATGACCATAATATGGCTAAAAAGAATGGAAGACAAATTTGACAATATGAGTAATTACCAAGAGGAAATGAAGAAGAACCAAGAGGAAATGAAGATGAACAAAGAAGAAGTGAAAAATGACATCGCTACTCTAAAAAACTCAATAGAAAGCATCAAGAGTAGGCTAGAAGAAGCAGAGGACTGCATCAGTGAGCTAGAAGACAAGAAAAAAAAATACCCAATTAGAGCAGCTTCTAGGAAAAGAAATTAAAAAGCAAGAGGAGAGCCTACGGGAGCTTTGGGACAATACAGAATAAAACAATATTAGAATAATAGGGGTTCCAGAAGGAAAGGAAACTGAGGAAGACATGGAAAACGTATTTCAAGAAATAATGACAGCTGAAACTGGTTTGGCTCAGTGGATAGAGCGTCAGCCTGCGGACTGAAAGGTCCCGGGTTCGATTCCGTTCAAGGGCATGTACCTTGGTTGTGGGCACATCCCCATTAGGGGGTATGCAAGAGGCAGCTGATCGATGACTCTCTCTCATCAATGTCTCTAACTCTCTATCTCTCTCTCTGTAAAAAATCAATAAAATATATTAGTAAAATAAAAAATAATGACAGAAAACTTTCCTGAGATAGAGAAGAAAAAACCCACACAAATCCAAGATGCTCGCAGAGTCCCAAGCAAAACGAATCCCAAAAGACTGACCCCAAGGCACATTATAATTAAATTGGCAAACACCAATGACAAAATAAGAATTTTAAAAGCAGCCAGAGAGAGACAGAAAGTTACATATAAAGGAACCCCCATCAGACGAGCAATTGATTTCTCAACAGAAACTCATCAGG